AATAACTTTTGAAGGATAAGTCGAGGTCGCTTTAAATTGTGATAATGTCAAACTTACAAAGAAATTTGAGATGCCTTCATTATAATGAAATACAAAACTTAACCATACAACGATATCGATCTTTTTTTCTTCAAAAAGTCTACATTGGTCCTACATTGTTCAATTATGACGTTATTGACAAATTAATACATTATACTTGAAAAATGATTTATAAGTCTAAAAGATTTTCGTGATAGCTTCTTTTCAAAATCAAAACCAAACAAAAGGTCGTTGTCATTATTGGGTCTTTCTTAAGCGCGGTCTTGCGCTATTTTAAGAAATTACTGTAATGGTATACTAATCAGACTACAACTATGCAGTGTTCATGACAAATAATTTAACTTCGTTGAAAGCATATAGGGTCTATAAAACCTATATTGGTGTAGAAAGTAAACATTAATATATAAAACATTTATATCTAAAGCTCTGTTAATATGGACTTTTCCCTTTCTGACCCTTGGTTACAGACAAACTTTTCCAGTTACAGCTGTGTTGTTGTACTAATTAATAGTAAAGTTTCAAAAATAGGCGCGACGTGTATATTACTCGCTTTTAACAATAGTACAATAAAATAAAAAATGAATAAATAGATAAAACGAGAGGGCCCAGAGGGCCCTGGATCGCTCACCTGAGAAATAGGTCAAAAGATAAAACTAGAGCCCCGTTTCACCCCAGACGCACAATTTGAAAACAAGGGACAGCTTAATCTGAACAATTTTGTGTTCTGTCACCAAAGAAATTTTTGTGTAAATTTATTTCAAAATTAAACCAGTGGTTTAGATGTAGTTGTTTTCTAATTTTAGTTGTGGCCGCCATTTTATTTTACAGTTCAGCCTGTCACTAAGTGAAAGGTGAGCAGGAAAACAAACATTGACCTATTTGGGATTGAACTGTCTACTTCAATTCCCTTGGGCCGGGTTAATTTTTAAACCTAGCAAACATGGTAGACATACACTAGAACATGTTTCGTGCTAAATATCTAAGCTCTACCTCTTTTGGATTTTTTGTTTACAAGAAAACCTTTTTAATTTTCATTATATACATATAAGGAAAATCAATGACCCCCGGGGCGGGCCAATTTTGACCCTAGGCTTTTATTTGAACAAAATTGGTATGCATCCACTAGTAGATGTTTCATGCAAAATATCTAGTTTTTTTACGAAAAGATCTTTTAAGATTTTTGTAAAAAAATCTTTTGGTTGCCATGGAATTTAATTCTTTGAACAAGTTTGGTAGAGCTTCATGCAAGGAACATGCCTGAGAGTTTCAACAAATTTGGCTAAGTGGTTTAGGTGGAGAAGTTGTTTAAAGAAATTGTTGACGCACGGACGCACGGACGATGGGTGTCCTCAGGTGAGCTAAAAACACGTGCGCGCGCGCACGCCCGCACACACACATACTCACACACATAGATGCGTGTGTGTGCGTGTGTATGTGTGCGCGTACGTACGTTCGGGCATGTATGTGCGCGTGTCTTTTTTATTTCTTTACTTTTTTATTCATTTATTTATTTTATTTATTTATTTATTGTGTGGGCGTGGGACAAACAAATTTCTCTTCCAGGAAATTTACGGTTACCTTTTGTTTCGATAACCCCCTAAGTATCTTTATGTTTATACGGACAGACAGTCTACGACGGAGAAATGATCTATATATGTCGCCATTATCCCGTGAAGGCGACACATAAAAAGAAATATGCCAAAATACATGTGTGAATTAAATATTTTGGTATTTTTTCTTAAAAGCGTTATATGCCTTAGAGATGCAATATTTGTTTTCATTTTTTACAAAGGGTAAACATTCGTATTGGAGCATGTTAGATGATCATTACCTGAAAAGGTAGCTTTTAATGTCGAATTATGTGTAATGCATGTAGCATAATGTACACAAAGTAATTTTTTTGACTTCCATAAAACTACTTCATTATATCATACTACAACTCTATTGATTGACAAAACGCAACAGAAGCACACTATGGTTGAAGATACCATAATTATAAAAATAAACTTTGAGAAATAAAATTAAAAGCATGTTTGGGCATAACGGGCCTTAAAGAGCGAATAACACATGCACAAAATCATTGCTGACGGTTTAAACATAACTTTAAAACTGCAGCAAAACATTACGTTCACATATTCACGGAATACGCCCACGGAAGAGCCACGGATTAATTCCGGCATCGTCCGTAGCTACCCGTACTGGTCAGTAGCTCTCCGTATTGTAACCGTAATCAATCGTAGTAGTCCTTGTATATCCGTAGCGATCCTGGACAATTTTTGAACATGCACAAAAATTTGCTACGGAAAAATCAACCGTAGCGTATCCCTGCTAGTCCGTATTAAACCGTACTGATACGTACTGGTCCGTACGAAAACCGTACTAGACCGTACTGATTCGTGATCCAAAAACTTGTCAAGGATTTCCACGGTTTGGTACGGAGAACTACGTATTTGTACGGTTACCCTACGTTGTACTACGGAGAGGCAATGATTAGCACGGTCTTATACGGTTTATTGCGTTGCAACACGAAACGGTACGGAATGGTACGGTCCACCACTGTTAAGTACGGATGAATTAAGTATCATGTGCTTTTTCAAGGGTATGAATACTACCTTCTTCTTAAAATCAGACATATTTGCGGGAACATTCAATAAAGGATTATTGCTATTTACTGGCTGCAACTTTATATTGAAATGGCTCAGAATGCAGAGGCAGTGGTCGAGCTGTTTGATGACATGCATAGAAGTAAATTTATATTAATATCGTACTACAATTCATTAGTAATAGAAAACATTTAATGTGACATATTTTACAAACATTGGATCGTGAAATTGGAGTAAATATGTACATAAAACGAAGTGTTTCATAAGCCTCGGACGCTGGACCTTGAGTGATAATAAGATATATTAACAAGCTTTTTACATATTTTTAAAACATAAACATCACGATAATTAATGTAATTGTAAAATGAACAAAAAATCTAAAAATTAAAAGAGAAGCATTATTGCTCAACATTTTTCATTAATGATTACTAGTCCATATCTAATCAGGTAAGAGAAGACAGACGAGATGGTGGACTAGAGATGGGCTTTTACGAACACCGCTTAATGTTTAGTATGAGGCTCTCATGGCCGAACTTGTTGAGGAGTCCTTCAAGAAATTCACTTTTATCGGACCTGATGTGTCTCGGGGGTCGGACGCGATTAGGCCGAATCCTCTCCGCCAAAATCATTGAACTCTGCAATTCGTTGTCTAGGTGTTCTTTTCTTGTGAGGCATTTTGAAAATGAGCAAACAACATGTTGAGGACGGATGAATTAGGTCCGTATAGATCCGTGGAAATTCGTTCTTCTCCGTATCAATTCGTTCTTCTCCGTATCAGACCGTACTTAGTCGTACTAACCCGTGCTTATACCGTAGCGAACCGTAGTGTATCCGTAGTGCGTCCGTCCTGATTCGTGTTGCTCCGTATCAAACCGTGTCAGTCCGTAACAATCCTCGTCTCTCCGGGGGCTTTTGGTGGTAAATCCGTCGGACGCCGTACTCATACCGTTGTGTGTCCGTACTGGAACCGTAGCGGATTACGGAATTTCACATTTCCGTAGTAATCCGTGAACGATTAGACCGTAGCTCTTCCGTGGCATTATCCGTGAATATGTGACCGGGGCATTAATGAATAAACGAACATTTTAATAACTTTCTTTGTACGATAAATATTCAGTATTTAAACGAAATAAACACCATGGTTCTATAGATGAGCATGATGTTTCATTGAAAATTATTTTATTTCTTTATGTGAACTCATAATACAAAGAAGTAAGAAGGAAAAGTATTGGCCAATAATGTATTGTTTGCTAAAGATTTCCCCACTCGTTTTTCTGGACCAATTAGTATACCTCTGACACCTTTCATTATAATAATACGCCGGATATAATATTTCTTTGAATTTGAATCTATGTCAGAGAACCTTTGCATAGTCCGGTGTTATAAAAACAATTTTCCAAGATTCGAGGTAGTTTTTGTCTATGTAACTTGAGGTACGCTACAGGTTTCTGTGTTTAACCGGAAAAAATGTAAGTACAGCTTCTTACAAAACATTGTTAACCGTATATCTGCTAAATATGTGCGCAATCACTTGCGCGAGGGTGGGCTACATGAACATCGACAATACGTTGGTTTTCATCACGGAAGGGCGGCGTTCAATAAACGCAACCCCAACCCCAACACGACCCAGCAACACAGGGCTACATGTAAAGAGCCCAGCAGGACACCAAACAAAAGAAGTAGGACAGGGCACAAGGCAAAGCACTAACTTTATTAATACATTAAAGGAGATATTAGAAACCGACAAGAAAATTAAAAAGAAAATTAATTAATAGGCCTATGAAAGTAAATGGCTGTAGGGGAATGGGACTTGAGGTTGAGGAAGAGGGTGCAAATTTTAAATATAGCAAACCTAGAGGGTACAGTGAAGATACTTACCGTAGAGGAGACAACAACAAGAAGGGGCACCTTAATAGTGTGAAACAACGAAAATAGAGAAAAACAGAATCTCTAAAGAAATCCCAACACGTTTAAATTGAAAATGCTGTAGGCCCGTTTTGATTGAGTCTGTTCATGGCCGGTAATAGAAAGTGCAAGTTACCCTCCACGCCCCCTTGCAGCGGCTTATGCAGAATTCAACATTTAATTAAACTTGAAAATGGTGAAATTTGACATCAGCAGATATATGCAAACAGAGTATTTAGCCATTTTGAACGATCTCTAGGGATTCTATTTTTCTCTATTTTGAACATTGCTAACATGGAAACAGCCGTAAGTGTAAGTGGACCGTTAAGTCAGTATTTTGTATACACAATTGAGATCTACTTGACACGATAGCGATTGAAATATACAATGAACGAATTTTCAAAAATCATTTCATAAACTTTTATCAGTCACATAGTTTAGCTTATTACTTACTTCTCTGGTCCGTTTATAAAATAAGTCCATATCCAATTTCATATCCAACACATTTTGTAAGTCATAATGTTGTCATATATCCATGGACCACTTTGCACTAGAACATCTTTAAAATTACATGATAGTTTTAGGTAAATCCTATACAATATTTTACAACAAATGTTGTTTTACACAAATGAGTGTTAACTTTAAATGTTAAACAACTATTAGTAAAATATTGAGTTAACATATATAAAAGTCTATAATCTTAATGTTTACATTAATGACGAAATATGTGTCCTAATGTTCATTGGTTGGCAGTTTAACGTTGGCGTGTTTATCGGCTATACCTATATATCTCTATTTGATGCGCATGGATTTAACACGAAGGACGTAGAGCGACAAAACAGGTGTTAATTAGCCGATTTACTCCATTCAGAACATTTTTTCCCGATTCTAACAAGACAAATTAAAGGGGATCACTTACGCTTTTTTCAAGAGGATTTTTCTTCCGTTGCCGATTGTCCTACGAAGCTGTTCTATTTCGCACCCTACTGTCGCTAAGGCTTGAAAATTATTAAACAAAAGATATATAAATAGAAAAAATACCTTACTGTACTATTAAATAATTATTTTATAAAGATTTAAGCAATTCAAACTTACTTGTAAGACTGGCTTTTATTGTTTATGAATGAGAAGCATACTTAGGATGATGTCTGCTCACGAATAGGCTCAACCTTTTTCTTATCAACTGATCAGGATAAAACGTGTGGCGTTAGTGTGTATGTAAGATGTAGTTTCAGCATCATATGGAAAACAAAATATAATAAGAACGGAAAATATCAGTAAAAAATACGGTAGCACAAAGGGGACATGACATATGTGTGTTTTATTTTATCTCGTGAACACAAGATACTATGTCGTGGCCACGAGTTACTAAGTCGTGGCCACGAGATAGCTAAGTCGTGGCCACGAGATACTATGTCGTGGCCACGAGTTACTAAGTCGTGGCCACGAGATAGCTAAGTCGTGATCTAGTTGAATTAACTTATTCGAAAATAATAATGAAATGCTTCCTTTACGAAAACATTTATCACACAATCTTTGTAGTACGTGTTTCTTTTGAAACATGTGTAACAGAGTACACAAACAAAACAAAACATGTGTCTAGTATTTCAAGTTGATTGTTTTAAATATTGATTAAATGAAAGAGATAAAAAGCAATGATTGTTTGTTAACAATTAAAAAAACTATTCAAGTACATAAATACGGTGTTCCGTTTGGACTAAAGTGATTTTTTATTTCGTCCTTACCCGCGATGCACGATAGTGAAACGGCGATGGTACGATGACACGATGATGAAACACGATGGCACGATGGTGAAAACACGATGGTACGATGGTGACATCGCGATGTCGCGAAGGTACAGTGGTGAAAACTCGATCGTACCATCGTTTTTTCACCATCGTACCATCGCGTTTTCATCATCGTACATCGCATTTTCAACATAGTGCCATCGTGTTTTCACCATCGTACCTAGCGTTTTCACCATCGTACCATCGCGTTTTCACCATCGTGGCATCGTGTTTTCGCCATCGTACCATCGCATTTTCAACATCTTACCATCGCGTTTTCACCATCGTACTATCGCGCCATTGCGATTTCACCATCGTAACATCGCGTTTTCATCATCGTACCATCGCGTTTTCACCATCGTACAATCGTTAATCGCGGGTACAGACAAAATAGAAAAATGCAGATTGGCCACACGGAACACCGTACATAAACGATTTTATTTAAAGTTGCAAAATATTACCATTTAAAGGGAGATAAGACTATGAGTAGCTGGTATTAAAATGGTATAATAAATACACGGTGATCTCCCTGACTTTTTTTCTGTTCTAGTAATTATTTACTATAAGATGAACACATTTATCATGTACTAACAACCATCATGTAGCTTTCAACGATAATATTGTACAATACATGATGAATTCGATGTACTCCTATGAAATAAATATGTATGTATTTCTCGTAAATTGTGTTTTATCGCACACAAACAATCATACAGAACAAACAGTTTATTCAAGAACTTTGCAATAAGTACATAATCATTTTATAGACATAGTTTATACTTATAATTAACAGACATAATTGAAAATGGGGAAAAAACACATTTAACAAGCCAAGTTTTTCAGAATATTCTCTTTTTTAGCATTTAATATTTCTACAAGGTTAATTACACTAGTCTTAGATTAACATTTTTATAACGTTTTACATATAGATATGTATTTTGCTACGTATATGTATGAAAATGACGTTAACTAAATTGGAAAAAATATCGCGTGTATAAAATATGAAAAACAAGACCATCAAGGAAGGACGGCATTATTAGATCAGACATACTACCAATACAATGTAAATATGTATCTGATAATCACACTGATAATCTTGTAATATAATATTGTAAATACGCAATTAGTTACATTGTTATTGTCATTTAGACGACAAGGTCAATATAATTTTCGTACTTAAGTGTTGAAAATCTTAAGATTGTAGATTTAATTTGTATCGCTTGGTCTACCTTGTACATTATTTGGGTGTGTATTGAAAGCCCCATTTTCTAAAGGTCAATTTTTTTGTTTTATGTTCCTTGTTTGCTTCCTAAAATTCGACACAGGAACAAAGGAATAAATTTTTATTTGAACATTGACCTACAAGTAAAAGAGTGACAATCAGTTTATAAATAGTAGAAAACGGTTTTCAGTACAAGCTAAAAATATCGTCTGCCAAAAATGTTTTGAATGTGTTCAAGAATGCATGAAAAGCGTGATAAGTTCTCGTTAGTATTGTTTGGTTTTATTAACCTGTCAATTACAAACTTATTACACGGTTGATGCACACAGTATATTAACCTTCGGTAGATGTTCGGTAAGTTCCGTGAGATGTACGCTGTACGATGGAATTTAATTTAATTTTTATCTCTAAACTAAGTGTACCTAGCGTTATAGGGCAATAGGGTAAATCACGAGTTTATAATCTAAGTGCCAAACGTGTTTAATTTCGAGGCCGCGTTGGTCCATGTTTTTTTTTCTTATTAATACTTTCAACATTATTGAATCTATATATGATTATTTTATGTTGTTCGTTTTTTTATTATGTTTGACTTTATTTTGTTATGTATATACTCTTTTTAAATAAATTGTTTTTTTTAAGAATTCATGTTTGTAATTATTTAACGGATTAAAATCAATAAATGTCTTTTCAATGCCGTAAAACACACTACAAATCTGTTCAATTAAAATATACTGCAAAAATAAAGAAGGAGTACTAAAACAATGGCAACAGTAAGGATCGAACCACAGACCTCTCAATTATCATGCATTCTCTTTATAGTCTGATTTTATTGACCTGTCAATTATGAATACATCATAGGACTCATTTAAATATTCAATCCCACTTCGGTTTGGTCCGTGTAGTTTACGAGAATTAATGTGGAGTATTTTAGTCATGAATTGAAAGTCACACCAGCTTAATGTGACGGTTTGCGTTAATTCACAATAGGACAGTCGGTAAAGAGCATGCACCTGAGTAGAATAGCCAATCTTTTGTAAGTTAGCTGCATACCTTATTAAAATGAATTATTTAACGTCCCCGGCGGGATTCGAATATATAGCATTCTCTCAGCGTTATAATCTAAAAATGTCTTTGTATTATAGAGTGATTTGCCGTGATTGATATTCAATCAGTGATGCGCTGTGATTGTACACTATAAGCTATGATGTGATTGATATTCTATATATGTAATGATTTGTGATTAATATTCTCTGAGTATTAACTGTGGTGCACATGCTATATATAATGAGATGTGATTGGTATTCCTTATGTGATGAATTCTGATTGTTTTTCTTTGAGTGATGAACTGTGATTGATATTCTATGGATGATGAATTGACGTGCCTATTATATATTAAATTAAATGTGACAGATATTTTTTGCGTAATGTACTGTGATTGATATTTTGAGAGATTAACTGTGATAATGACCATTAATATACTATGAGTAATTAACTGTAATGCATATTCTTTAAGTGATGAACTGCGATGCATGTTCTATATGTAATGAACTGTGAACGATATAATTATTTGAAACTAAAAACTAGAACTCCGCGAGTCAAATGTGTCGCCTTGTGAACAATATAGCTGTCACTGAGGCATTTTCTTCTAAAACACTGCTCTTACAATGTGCATGTTCCTTTAACTTTAGTGGCATTTGAACTGATTGTAACAATGTTACATCGGGATAAATAAAACTGTTATATTATCAAAAATAAAAATGCCATGGAAAAGTTTTATACTGACAGATCAAATGGAGTACTCTGTGATGTATTCTTATGCACTGTACTTCAGGTCAATGAAAAGGGCTAACATACCAAATTTGGAGTCAATCAAAATTATATTGAACAAATTATGCTCTGGACAAGTCTATTAAGTAAGAACATTGACAATGTGCAATAACACAAGAATAAAATGCGCAGAGTACCGGTTTTTGTGCACTGCACTTCTTCTCAATGAGATTTATCATCCTATGATATTCAAGTCCATAGATTTTATACTTCAGGAGAAATGGCCCGGACAAAATTAAAGTATGAAAATTAACAAAGGGCAATAACTAAATAAGAAGTGCAGACTAACGATTCTTGCGCACTGCACTTTGGGTCATTATAAGAAGCATGCATACCAAGTTTGGAGTCAATCTGACTTTTAGTGACTGAGTTATACTCCGGACAAGCTAACGGGGACGCCGACAACGACGCCGACATCAAAAATCGGTTTTATGTGTTATTTTATTTTTTTTTTTTGGGGGGGGGGGGAGGAAGCACAATCTGAGGTTAGTGTGGAGGGCGTCCCACATTTTGCCCATCTAAGACATGTGATTCGTTCTTAATTAATTTGCTCATTGAAACATATCTTAATACTAAAGTTTATCATTGCCATGGTAACATTTTATTGTCATTAGTTGACATTTGTGATTAATCTGTGCATCTTGTGCCATAATAACAGCGATATACTGTATAAAGGGAAATAATTCATTTAGCTACCTGGTAAAAGAATATGATGGGTAATGTTTCGTGTATTTGGTAATTTCCGTATCGCTTTTTTACTTGTCAATTTGTGACGTATATATACATTTTATTATTTTCATTATACCAATGAAAAAAAAACTGTTTTTTTTCTCTCTCTTTTTTGT